TTTGATAAACGTGAATCAAATGCATGTTTAAGCCCGTGAAACTTTGTCCCATATTCTAGAATATATTGATATGCAGTAACTCATCCACTCTTGCGTCGGACCATAATTCTTAGCGTTAAAACAATATCATGTTTTGATGTGACGTCATAATGCCGACTGCGACAATTGGACAGAATAATTCCCAGAAATTTTGAAGGGGGAGGGGTCATATCTACAAAAGGTTTTTGTTGATCTTTCTGTCTGTCTGTCTGAATTATGCGGGTAATATGGATATAGTATGGTATAGTATTAATATGGATATATGTATTTCTATTATATTCGAGCAGGAATCAGTCGCAAAGATGATTTTTTCACTATTCAGAGCAATGCGAACGCAAACTTTATCCAAAGATCAAAYACAGTGCATTGAAGCCGTTTTAGTATTCTAAAGCAAAAGAGCATTCTACGAGACTGTGCATGCACTCCTCAGCGAGGCACATTGATACAGACCATTCACATTTTACGCATGCGTGGATAAAAGTAGCGAGACAGGAGTTGAGCCTGCAGTGATAGATACCTTCTGTTCACACCTAAGGCAATTCTCAACTACCGTCWCTCTTTGATAGCGCCTGAAACYGTTTCTGCATAGTGCCGCGCCATGGAMATAACACCATATAATTCGTCCCCAAACCCCTGCCTTTGACTCAACTTCTTAACSTAGGAGGACCAAATGGCATATCATCAGAGTTTGAACAAGAATAATATTTATTCTGTGGTTAACTATTAACTTCCAAAAAGAGAATATTTGGCATAAATAGGATTTTTTATGTTGCATGCYGATTTACTTGGTTTGACATATAGATCATATCACACCTGCTATTCCATGTTGATCGAGAATGAATCTTTTTGTAATGGGAATGAATATTAAGTATCTATCCATGTTTGGTTTATCTGCGCATTTKTCAATGGACTGACCAATGAGAGGACGAAGCGGTTCCTACTTTATCCCGCTTAAATTACCCGGATCATTCCATTCTGTTGGAACGCCCAATACAGTACTCTTCTTCGCTTAAATAGACTCTTAAAAAGTTTTGTTTTATTAACCTGTGTTCAAGATTTTTTATATGAAAATGAGAAACCGCAAAATGCACTTAGTGTCATTTACTATTAATGATCAATGCAAAGTACCATTTAAGGGTTTTACCTTCTTATTATCCATAGGCACAAGGACGCACTCATGTTCCTCCCATGTAGTTCTGTCTATTTGACCAATCAGAATCATTTTGCTGCTATAATGTTGTGCGTCAATTGAGACCTCTRTCACTATACATGACTTAGATGTACGCATCTAACATTTTCAATAGAATAAGACCGTACTGGGAAAGATGGTKCGGTTAATTTACAAATAACAGTCGTTCCGAAGTTTATTTGAGAAGCTAGTGCATGATGCAAGTACTGTGCGTGTTTTCKCGCGTAAAATTAGTGAGTTAGGGCAGCGAAACTTAAGTACCCTATCATCCTAACACTAYATCGATTGCAGCTGGATACCAAAATGAACCTAAGACAACAACTTAATTATGTATATCTTGGTTTTAGCAAGTTGCTTTTGACCTTATCTAAGGAGCAATTTTGGAWTTTGGTATTCAAATTGATAGTAAATAACCCTAGGCCGAAAATTGAAATTATATTGGTTAGGAAACCTAGTCATGAACCACTTGAGATATWATTCATCCCTCTTGATTTGTAAGCACATTGAAGCATTCACGGTTTCGTTTTATATTATAGCTCTCTACACAGACCGTCCGTATGCTCACTTAAGTCAGACGCAATAGAATCGCAATGACAACAAACATTAGTTTTCGCCCGAAAACGACTTTATTCTCSAACGATTCATGTGYAAATGAGTTTGTTGGAGTTTTAARTTTGGGAATTAGCGAATTTTTTATCGYTGGAAGTGTAATAATTACATTGKCAATTCCTCTAACAGTCTTACTGAACACTCTCGTCCTTGTTGCCATAAGGAAGACTTCTTCGTTACGTACACCAAGCAATGTACTTCTTTGTGGCTTGGCTCTTACTGATCTTGGAACAGGAGTTATTTCACTTCCACTGTTTCTTGCTATGGTTATCACATTTCCCCACAATGACTCAAAGATCTTTTGCGATTTAAAGCAGATGTCCTTAATAGTTGGTGGATATTTCAGTGGTCTCTCGTTTATTACTTTAACTTTAATCAGTGTAGATCGAGTAATAGCTCTACAGTTTCACATGCGGTACGCTAGTATTGTTACCATACCTAGAGTACTAGCTGTCCTGGTGTTTTCTTGGGTTGCAGTGTTTATTGTTGCCTTGTTATACATGTGGTTTGCTTTCAAKGTGTTATTAATCTTTTTTTCTATCTCATTTCTGGTGTCCATGGTTGTATCCACCGTTAACAATTTTGTAATACTTCGAATTCTCCGCCGTCATCGCGTAGACATTGAACGACAACAGCAGCAAGTACAGGTGAACCAGAACATTGACAATACCAACATGGCTCAGAGAAGAAAGACTTCTGGCAACATGCTTTGGGTTTACTTGCTGTTTRTTGTGTGCTACGCMCCRCGAAGTGCTACAGCAATGTCACTTCCTTATATAGCAAAGGACGGAAAAGTGCTCTTGATACCTTATATCGTAAATTGTATAACAATTATTTTAATGTTTCTAAATTCGATGTTCAACCCAATATTCTATTGCATCAAAATGCGCTCAATACGGAGACACGTTGTTCAGTTATTACCCCAAAACCTCCTCTTACTTCTCCGTATCGAAATTTAGATTAAGGGTCCAACACTGGCCAAATTTAGAAGGGTCGTACGAGGATCTCCTTCAAATTTTCGTTTTCTTCTAACCAAAGCTGATTTTTGTTTCCACATGTAGTTGCTCGTCCTGTGTGCCTGGCTACATGTGCTGCACTGTGCTGTCTTTAAATTCGATGTTGAATCCAATATTCTATTGCATCAAAATGCGGTCGGTTCGGAAGCACGCTCTTCGGCTTTTACCSTCAAAAGTTCTYGAATTTTTTAACATCRAACTTTAGAAATGAATCTGTTGCATTTATTTTAATAAAGATCTATTTTGAATATCAAAAACCTCTAGTTTTGATTTTTAAAATGTACATAAACCTCAAAGTTCCCATTTCCAGTAATATACCGCTGAATGCTAGTATTGATAAGACATTCGCTTGCTTCAATATATGGACAGCTCGTATATATTGGTGGCTACGTTATACAAGATTTGTACAAGTATTCTTAACACGCCTATGTTATCTTGACAAATACATTCAATAGTACGTATTGCTAAAACACTCACAATCTATTAGGACAGTTTCCAAAACAATGGCCGCTTAAGAGCGGATTCATCTGCCTTTGCGCTGGGCTACTTTTACTTCGATCCGCATTGAAGACATTGCACTCAAGGKGAAATTAAGATGGAATACAGATAGAAATCTAGGAAATTAAATACAAGATATTTCTAAAAGGGATGTAGCTTGTTTGCCGCCGATTTTTTCAATCGGAATGTGCCATTTCCTTTTAATTCAAGCTTTTAAATTGACTCAATCTAAAAAAAGTCTACATGACACTTGGTTTACATGCAATCCCTCCCACTATACATCACTGGAAAAAAAAAAAACCGCGCGCTTTGAATCCTGTAAATTTGCGATGAAATGGATGTAAATATCCCGTAAATTACAGAATTTACAGAATTATGGACACATACATGTTATCTACACAAAATTTACAGAGTTTTTACGTACTCTGTAAATTTTCGGTAAAATTCGTGTTAATGAAACTTTGTAAATATATTGCGTAAATCGAATTTAAGCTAAATTTACATCGTATTCCCAGCGCGCGATTTTTTCCAGTGAATCTTGCTGAATGCCTCTTGGTCTTGTTGGTGTCTTCAAGACTCCATCATTACATAACCAAGCAATGTGCTTCTTTGTGGCTTGGCTCTCCCTGATCTTGGAACAGGAGTTGTTGCATTGTCTACATTTTGGCTAGTCGCATGAGCTGTTTTTATTGAAAACGTATGTCTTACTTACCTAGAACCGAAATGTGACAACAGCAAAGACATTGTAAGAGACCGTAAAATATTCTTGGGGGCTTATCATCTGATAATTAAGATACTTTGCCCGGATACTTTGCTTTTCACATGCCCATATTTTTGCAACATTATTTTCCTTGGCAACTCCAAGTGACACTTAATGTGCTTTTCTCCGCGTGCGTTAGTATGTCAATTGATACTTCAGATCAGGAAATGAGAAATAAAAAATATTATCAGGCTGACACATTCTTCTCGAATTCTTCATCAAAACTCTTTTTCATCTTAATGATATTCTTTTGTCAAATTGGATGCTCTTATATAGTTGAATATGAATCAAAATAAACATAATTTCTTCATATTGCTGTATATTGGTGGCTATGTTATATCTTGACATAATGCAAGTACAACGCCTCCTAAACATCGACGTATTCCTCAAACACTCACAATCTTTCGTTTATTAAATAACAACAAGTAACAATAACTTTTTTTAACTAGGTTTTTGGTCGATAGCAATTTCACTAAAAATAAAATAATTGACAAACGAGTTTGCCGTTCTCTACAAGACCTTGAAATTTAGATGAAAATTTCAGATCAATATCAAAAGTTAATATGTTGACTGTTGACTGTTGACTGTGCGTTTACTGTGAGAAAATGTCAAAGAGAAAATGCATGATTTGTAACATATGCAATTTTCAGGCTCATCGGGGCACATGATGACTTGCTTCTTCAACGCCGGACCATGTTTAGTTTGCTGTGCTTACGTTTTACACCTGTGTTGAGTACGTATAGGGTGTACTGTCAAGTATTGTGTAATACTTTTGACAGAAAACGTTAATCTTAGTGTAGATAATTTAGTTACATCATGCATGCTCATTCTCAAGAATTACTTTTTTAATATACAAATTATACTTGCTGTATACTTACTGTATTTTATGTGTCAAACCTGAACTGAAAAACGTGAATGCTTGGTTCGAATGACTAATGACTTGATGATTGTCCTTAATATAATGATCAGTTCAGTAGTCGTCGTACAAGTCTCATCCGTTTTATCTCTTTTGGGTTTTAAAGGGAGCACTTAGCACACTCAAACACACCACAGGATATTTCCTCGTTTCATTGATACAATATATTGGTTGACATGCACTGTGACGAGTCATTAATCTTACGATATAAAACTATAAAACATAATCCGCGCTCAGCATATCGCTGGTTTATGAAGAGCGATAACTCGGGGTTATATCAACAATGGGGCCTACAGACAACCCAATCACCACATTCAGTGATTTTTGTACAGGTGAATTTCTTCAAATTATGAACTTTGACATAAACGAGTTCTACATCACAGGGATTATAGTAATTTCACTAGCCATTCCTCCCACTGTCTTTCTGAATGCTTTGGTTTTTGTTGGTATTTACAAAACTCCATCACTACATACACCAGGTAATGTACTTCTGTTAAGCTTAGCTCTCACTGATCTTGGAACAGGGCTTGTGATATTACCTTCCACTTTGCTCAMAGCGATAGGCGCTATTGAAAACGTGTGCTTCCCTGGTTTGATGGAAACGACCTTCATGTCCACTGGCTTTTTCAGTGGTCTCTCGATTATAACTTTAACGTTCATCAGTGTAGATCGAGTWATAGCTCTACAGTTTCACATGCGGTACACCAGTATTGTTACCATTCGTAGAGTGCTGGCTGCCCTAGTGTTTTCTTGGGTGGCAGTATTTCTGATCGCGTTGTCGTTGATCTGGATCGGACAAGAACCATTGCTATGGTGTTTTGCCATCGGTCTCGCTGTATGCTTGATTGTGTCAACTGTGAACAATTGTGTAATACTCCGAATTCTCCGTCGTCATCGCGTAGATATTGAACGACAACAGCAGCAAGTACAGGTGAACCAGAACATTGACAATACCAACATGGCTCAGAGAAGGAAAACTTCCAGGAACATGCTTTGGGTTTACATGTTGTTTCTTGTTTGTTATGCTCCAAATTTTTTGGTGGCATTAGCATCAAGCACTTTAAACTATAAAACATCCTATATTGTTTTAACTATAACAAACGTTTTRATGTATTTCAATTCAATGTTTAACCCAATATTCTATTGCATCAAAATGCGTTCCATACGTAGACACCTTGTTCATGTGTTACCGATAAAGATACTGATTTTCTTTAATATCGAACCTTAGTTTTCGATCCTAGGAGTTGTTTCGCTATATATTTATGCATATTYCTTAGCAATGAAAAATGGGAAGTCATTGGAATCTCACTATGGAGGGAGCTAATGAAATTTAACTGCGGAAGTACATAAATGACCTAATCCTTCAAAAACTTTGCAACTGTAAACTAACGTAAAAATCTTCACTTCCAAATAATAAGAATAAAAGGAAAAGATCAAACCTCGTGTTGTTTCACACGTGTATTTCAGGGGGGGCGTGAGATTGATCCTAGTGATGATAAAATTGCGCATTTGGTGCATGTAATATATTAGCTCATGTCCTATAAACTTTTTGAAACACTTCTCCTGTGTCGTGTACGCTTCAACGTGATTTTTGCCGTAAGTGAGCATGAAACATTTCGCTTCATGCTAAAAATGATGTTCGATGGGCGCGCAGCTTCAATTCATGCCGCAAACGCGCATTTTTATAATTTGAAATAATATGATTCAATGATATTTACACCTGTTGGGCATGAATCATGCCTTTTTTATGCCTTTTTAATATCGCTTTTTATACGGTCTCTATGAGTAAATGACATGAAATCTTGTAAAATTCATGCCGGCAACACCTTAAAATTTTTTTAAAACTGTCAATAAGTTTACTTTATAACCCGCTTTTCAAGCTATATATATTTGTTTAATATATGTGATTACTTATATCAGATGAATTTTCCGTGTTTAGATAAAGTATTCATTCATCATCATGTATTCATTCATATAATATGCACTTTGTTTTCCTAGAAGAACCATCAATTATAGCATACCATCCTAGTATCACTTGACGAGCTTACGCAGTCCCATGTCATTTTTTGAAAAAGGTTTTTCTTGCACACTTATCAAATACAAGAGCAAATATGCACAATGCATTCAATGAAAAACAGAACGCATCCTGTAGGGGCGAAGGACCAGATAAAAAGCGCCAGAACGAGACATCAGGTAGAACAAAGGGTAAGATCCGCTTGTTAAGACATGAGGAGTTACAGAAAAGACAGAAAGACAATTACACGGGTGCCCAAATTAAAGAAATGACAAGCAGCCGTCAAAGTGATGCGTGCGCGCTTGAGGTTCAAAATCAGACTATATAAATCTTAACTACAAAACCTCTCCAATAGGCAATGTGTTTGTTTTTTTCAGCAAAGGATGATGGTAGTTGTAGTCCTCGTACTTTTTCATGCATGTTTTTGCTTTCTCTAAGCAAAAAAAAAAAATTGTTTTGCCGTTTCTACAAAGACAGGCTTCTAAGTAAATATTCCTGGGTCTTAAAAAAACGAGGAGTACTACAACAGCCATCATATGTTTTGCTGCACAAAATGGAGTCCCTCCACATTGACCAGTCCGCTATCACCAAGATAACGAAAACCGAGAGACTCATTCAAAGTCTTCATCTCAATCATTTCAAGTACTTTCCCCTTCTCTCTTTCTCTCATTTGCAAGACATTCTACATCAGCTAACATCCGTTGTAGATCTCATTCTATACAAAGCCACAAGAAAAGCCCTTTCACTCTGTCTGATTTGTACATATTCAACTTAAAAAGGAATGGATCGATGAAGATTTAATGGTTTTCTATCGATTTTGTGTATTTTATGTCTGTCAATAACAATGCCGCAATGTTGGTGGACAAACACATATCCACAACATGGCGGATCCAAGCATTTCTAAGTCAGGGTCACAACAAAAACGCTTAACGGTTTTGGGTTAGTAGCTTAGGGACTGCGCAATAGTTATCAGGAGGGGGATTGAGAAATGAGCCAAAAAATCACATGACTTAGAAATGCTTGGATCCGCCATGTTGTGGATATGTGTTTGTCCACCAACATTTCGGCTTTGTTGACACACGTGTCCAGGACTGGCCTATGGTATCCCCTGTCCTCATGGGACAGTCCCAAGATCTCCCTTGAAGCTACAATGACCATGACAARACCATACCTTAGTAGGGGTTGAATTAATCCGGAGAAGAGGCAAGCTGCTCGGGGAAACTCCTTGGCAATGTTGTCAGATAATATTGTTTTATCTAAYGACCTGTTAAAGCTATGACATACTCAGAAACGGAAGCTTATGTTGCTAAGMTACGCACTCGAAATATTTGAACATAATAAGAAACTGAGCTAAACTGATCAGAAAAAGAAACACAATGCTATTTACCATCAATAACATCAGAGTCCAAACAGAACAGATARAATCTTACTTTGATCTTATTTGCTTACAAATTACTTTAATGAATCAATATACATACGGKTTTTTTTCGCTAGAAGAMTACTAGGGATTGTGGATTTCTGTCGATTCTGATAGGTTAACCTCCAAACGCGTATTCCAAGACTAACTAAACGAGTCTTATATTAAATATGATTCCGGGGGGTTAAAGTACCGGGGATGCCCGTCGAATCTCTTAGGGATAAAACTTCGTGATTTGGAATCTTTTAGGATGCCAAATGTCTGGATATTTACATATTCTGCAATCTCTTTGGATGTCAGAAAAGAAGAGAAAGAGCGCATCGATAGTGATTTTCCTCTGCATTTTTATCATTGCAACTGATTTAATTTAACAATATTTGTTGTGTAATCTCTAAGTGGTTAAAAATCAGTCAACCACAGCCTATTTTCAAGACTTCCGGGATCTTTAAGGAGTCTTTTTGAAGATTTCTGACGAGCATCCCCGGTACGTTTACCTCGGAGTCTCCCCCCCCTCCCCCGGGAAATGATTCCTTAAATCGCTTCACTTCTAATGACGGCTGATGTACATTGTACGCCCTGTTGCTTCGGAAACGTGTATTCGCACATACAATACAGTAAGTATACAACTGTCAAGGTTTGTATATAAAAGAGCAATGATTAAGTAATGAGCATGCATGATATAACTATATATAACATATAATTAAATGAACAATACTAAGACTAATGTTTTCTGTCAAAAGTTTTACGTAATGATGGAGTTTTGTGAATACCAACAAAAAACAGAGCGTTCAGCAAGACAGTGGGAGGGATTGCCAATGAAACGATTATAATTCCAGCCATTAAAAAYTCSWWWATGTCCAGGTTCACGATGTCAATGAATTCTCTTTTGCAGTAATCCCTGGATGATAAAGTGAGGTTTTGGTAAAAGATAGTGCTGRTGTTCATCGTTCTTGATATCACACTTAGACACAAATGCAAAAGAGAAATATTGACACATTAACGCACGTGAAGACAAAAGAACAGAAAAAGTCATCAATTGTCACTTGGAGTTGCCAAGGAAAATATATTTTCAAAAGTAAGGGCAYGGGAACAGCAAAGTGTCTTATCAAATGATAAGCCCGAAAGAATTTTTCATTCTTACCATGTCTTTAGTGTTATATTGGTTCTAAGCAAGTAAAACATACGTTTTGAATAAAACCAGTTAATGCGAGCAAAAATGTACACAATGTAACAACTCCTGTTCCAAGACTCAGTGAAAGCAAAAGCCACAAAAAAACACATTGCTTGGTTATGTAATGATGGAGTCTTAACAAGACCAAGAGGTATTCAACAAGATTCACTGGAAAAAAAATCGTGCGCTGGTAACCCTGTAAATATGATTGGAAAACGATGTAAATTCGATTTACGAGATATTTACAAAGTATGTAAATTATTGCTGTTTTTGTCCAAAATTCTGTAAATAACCTGTAAATTCAGATCTACGCGATATTTACAGATTTTCATTTACACGAATTTCCCCGAAAATTTACAGAGTACGTGTAAAACGGTGCAAAAAGGAGTGGAATCGCACTTTCCGAGTAGCGAAAAATCGGCAGCAAACAAGCTACATTCTTTTTAGAAATATCTTTTAATTTCCTAGATTTCTATCTGTATTCCATTTTTTTCACCTTGAGTGCAATGTCTTAAATGCGGATCGCAGTAAAGTTTGTTTTCTTGAAAGAAAAAGTGGCCCAGCGCAAAGGCAGACGAATCCGCCCTAAGCGGCCATTGTCTTGGAAACCATCCTAATCAATATCTWAACTAAATAGGGGCTGGCCATGAAGGCTCAATGTCAGACAGGCTTCTTGACTCGTAGTTGCTGTCAAACAAATCTTCAGATCGTAACAATTTCCTTGTACCCACTAAAGTTCGATGTTGAAAAAAACTAGAATCTTTGTCGGTAGCACCTGGAGAACTTGTCTACGTATGGAACGCATTTTGATGCAATAGAATATTGGATTAAATATTGAATTTAAATACATTAAAACGCTGGTTACAT